AAAGGAAGAAATCTCCAGGAAAATACCTTGTTAATACATTGGTAAGGATCAAATATAACTTTAACATAGAAGCTTGTGATTTAGGTCCTCTGATTTGCAGGTGGGACAGGTGTGGTGCCATGTCAGATCGATTATGTTGTCTGTACTATAATAAAATAATGCAAGACTGTTGTTTGGCGTGGGCAACTCATAATCTACAACAAAATGTTCCATTGTTTTGGTAAAAAAACTAAAAGGGGGAGAGAAAGTTCAAGCATGGACTGATACTGAAATCATGTAATTAATTCTTAGTTTGGATTTTTTTTTCACTAGAGTACCACAAAAGTGCAGGCAGGTCCCTGTTGTTTTGGGACCTAACTGGTAAGAAAAGTGCAGTGCCTCAGAGAACTAACGATATAACCATTTATATCACTAATTCCTTGGGGCGTAAAGAAAAAGCAGAGTAATAGGAGCGTCAGGCACAGACAGACAGTGTGATTACCCACGTGCGACTGTAGAGTTTGCACAGAGCTGGAGCTGACTTCTCTGGAGCCCCAGGCCAATACATCTTCATCACATAAATACTGGCCATGTGTATGCTTTCAAGTTACTGAAGCAATTTTTGCTTAACTGTTACTTACAATGGCTCATTAGCAAGTTATCCCACAGGGTAGCTTGTTCTGTTTGTTGCTATCATGGCATAAATGGGTCTTCCAGAGGTCTTGGGGTCAGTAAGAACATGATGTCCCCATCTAAGTTTGGGAAAACACTTTGGTTCTGTGACGTTTTGCATTTTCAGTCCACAAGACACTCTCTGAGAAGGAGAGCTACTTGCTAATTCTTTGTTTCTGAAGGAGACATGCTAAATTGGGAGTGAGGAACCCATGAACTCTAAATTCACTTCTGTTTTTTCTTTCTTCGTATTAAAACTTACAAGTATAGCTTTACACCTCTTAACCTAGCAGCTCTGCTAAATGTACCAAATTCTAGTGTCTGAAGAACTGTCTCATTATATAAGAGGCTGTAACAGAGAAACTAATAATTTGTTGTATTTTTACTTTTGAAATTTTGCGCAGCTCCCACTAATCTGGACAGCTTTTTTTGGATTTTACTGCTTCACAGTGAGTTTCACAAGTTCAGTTGTTTGGGTTTTTTTTTCTGACCTTTTACATGCTTAAAATTACTATGCTAAGGTTCTCTAGTCCTTAAAGGAATGCATTTGTTTGGAGGAAGAAGGAAGGAAAGAGAATGCTTTTCAGATGCACCCAGGTTTTACAGTGCTTCTTTTAACAGTACTCTAGCAGTTCTTTTGGCTCAGGGTCCCATGCTGTAAGCAAAAACCCTCCGGTTACTGATTGTCCCTGGCAGTTTGAGCTGCTGCCGTTTCCCCATAGCTTATATTGGGTGCATAAACACGTTCTGTGACACGCCTATATTGGGGGTCATCCCACTAATAGTTCATGCGCGTAACTGCGGTGAACGACACTGTCCGCTCCGAGTTCAGGGCTTGTACCACCCCATGATGCTGTTGCTGGGGAATAAAAGAAAGCTGGGTTCTGGTGCTGAGCCCACTGGTTAAGAACATTGCTGCAGAGACCTGTACGTGATTGCGTGGCGGGGAAAGAATTAAACAAAAGCTGACTAGCTGTTCTACCCTCCTAAGTCGGATTTACAGGATTTAAGCAAATCTGCTGGAATTCCTTGATCATACTCCTGTTCCTTACAGCTTGAGTATTATACCAGCTCTGGGTATGATTGCTATTAACTACCTCTCTTTTTAGGCTTCCACTGAAGATCTCTTACGGAGGAAGCATTGATATTTCAGCTGGTTTTGATGAATAGTAGTCCTGCCAGGTCAGGAGAAACAGGTTGAATGCCAGAGAGCCGGGAGCATTTTAGAAGATGGTACTTCTTGTTCAGAAGGGTCAATACAGAATAATCTGGAAAAATCAAGACAAGAGAGACTCTGTAGGGAATCATAGACTTATTGTTATAGAACTGTGCTTATATCAGGGTGAGAAGGTGATTTGTGTTAAATAGTGGACTTGGGTATTTACAACTACTTCAAACTTGCCCACACAAGAAAGTTCAAGGTATGTTTTACCTTATCTTTAGATACATTACCTATCTAAACTGCCGTAGTTATATTGGTATAATTTCCTTCTTGGTCTTCCTCTCCACTTTGGAGAGGGCCATGTAGCCACGAGAAGCTTTTTGAGAATTTGAGATCCACCTCTCTCAAGAAAATGTCATTACGTGTGCCAGAAAACCCGGGGGGAGTCTTGGCAAGGAGGAAACAGTTCCGAAAGAGCACCCGCCACAGAGGAGACAACTGCAAAACCCACTGTATCTTTGCGCAGTTAGCCATTCCTCCAGAAACTGAATGCCAGACTTGGACTGCTGTTGCTTTTGGTGCACTGGCCTGTGTTTCCTTTAAAACCACTTCATCTAGGAAATCACTTTATCTAGGAAAGCCTTGCCTTGAGAGGGAAGCAACTTACAAGCTACTGTGAGAGAAATCCATGCAGGCTTTTGCTAGAGGTTTTAAACCCTATTAGTATGTGTCAGAGGTTGAATTTCCAGGTCCAAAGGGCTAAATAGGTGAGCGTCTTACGGGAGTTCTGAAGGGGCATCGACAACCTCTGTACTCCTGACTAAGGAGCAGGTTTCTCTGAATGCCAGTAGATTTTCTGTTCCTGCCTCCAGTATATACTTTCCTTGTGTTTTCACGGGAGTAAGTGGTTCTAAATTCCAACGCATTCCCATATTTTCATTTTGGTTTGCTCCTTTTTGCCAGTGCTGCCTGAGAGTTAGAGCGTGCTGTAGTATCTAAGCTATTTCCATCCTCCATTGCCCTGATCATCTGCCTCCCTTGCTAGGAGGATATAGGAGATTTGCTCCTAATTAACTGAGTGTAATTCTTGGCCAAATCCACTGTGGCCAGAACGCACTGTGGTACAAATCCACTCCAGAAAGGGCTCCCTCCTACCACTCAGCGACTCCTTTAAAAGACCCAGCGTGTAGTGGAATTTCCTTGCATTTGATGAGCGACTTGAGGATGAGGCAACACAAAACTGTCATGTGAAGTGAGTAATAGGCAGTAAGTGAGGGAAGAAAAAAAAAAAAAAAGGCTTTTTGTCAAGCCAATGGATTTTTATCAGCCTGTTCCTTGTTTTTATGCTGAAGGTGTCTTTGGAAATGCTGCTTAGCAGACTTGGCCAGAAGTGAGCTCATTTCTTAAGGTGACCTTCATGTTTCATGCTGCAGAACACCGGGAGTTAATCCCTCCAAAATCAGAATATAAATATAGGAAATGCCCATTAGACTGAGCTGAGGAGTGGCACAGGGAACGTGTGAAAAAAAAAATGCCAAGATTGAACAGCTTCAAATTGACCAATTCCCTTCTCAGATTTTGTAACGTTTAAAACTTTTGTTGTAGCCTCTAACCCTAATTCGTATGAAGGAGCAGTAAGCTGAAAACACTAAAAAACCCCATGGGATTGTTCACAGCAATACAACAATGATCAACTCTCTGGAAAGCATCCTAGCCGATGGGGTGGAAAAAACTTCACACCCCAGGATCGAGGAGACATTTACTTGATGGAAAAGATCTCTGGAGGCAATACCCATGATGGCAAGATGCAGGGCTGAAAATTGGGAAGCACCCTGGAGAGGGCTGTGCCACCTGTGGGGTTTCCATGGGGAGATCTGGAAGCTGCTTCACGTACAGTTTTCTGGGTCCCATTTACCTGGGTTCAAATCTGAGGAGAGTTTGACCTCAGGAAGCCGCGAGCAGCTAATCGAGGAGGCAGCGGTGGGGGGATAAAGTCCAGATTCCTTCCGACAAGTCTAATCTCTGGCAAACGCGCGCGCGCGAGCCCTTTCCTTTTCCAGTGTCGTTGCTGGAGGTTTTTGCAGCGGGCTACAGCCCCCGCTGTACCCCCGCCGTAGCTGCAGCTCTTGTGCCTGGGGGAGAGAAGGAGGAGGCGGCTGGGGGAAGGAGGGGGGGGGGAGGGCGGGGGGGTGGGGCGGCCCCAGCCGCTGGGTAGGCGGGGGCTGGCACACCTAGAGCGCGGGGAGAGGGAGGGGAGGGCGGGGTGCGGGAGCGGGCTGAGGGCTGCGCCCCGCCCGCCTGCGCGTGCCTCCTCCGGTTTTGAAGGGGGCTAGAGAAATTCTGGGGCACGTCCTCCTCCCTCGTTTCTCCCCCCTCTTTTTCCCCTTTCCTGTACTCCTGAGGAGAAGGAGAGGAGAGAAGAATCGAGGAGAAGAGATGGGGAGAGGAAAGGGAAAGTGAAATCCTACGATGCTGCTGGCAGCTTCGATCCCTTCCCTTACATCCCTTTCCCCGCATAGAAATGGAAGGGGCATCCCGCTCCCTCCGGTGCGGAGCGGCTAGTGCCCCACTCCCGGGGAAACCCAGCTGCAGAGCCCGGGGAGGAGGCAGCCGCTGAGCCCGGCAGCTGAACGAGAATGTGATGCTTGAAGAAGCTTCTGCCGACTTCGCGCAGGAAGGATGGAGATCCCCAAAGTACTTGGGCTCCTGGTAGAGCTCTCAAGTCTGTTAGCCTGTCTCAGATGCGTGGAGGTAAGAAACTGTTATTCTTCTATCTGCTTGTAAGAAATCACATGGCTTTTTTAATATCCTTGCTGTAAGTGGACCTTGTTATTACTTGAATATGTTTTCCAAAGCGTCCAGGCAGCTGTGGTCTCTGGGAAGGGTTGGGGGCTTGGGGAAGGATTTATTTCATTGTGCATATGAAATCCAGAAAAGGAAAGAAAGCAGGAAAGTGGGATGCACGAGGGCTTGCAGATGCTTTGGCTCAGGTTTCCTATGTTTCTCAAGTGCTGCAGTGACCCTGGCAGGAGACATCCTTTGTTTCTGTTCTTTGCTGATTGACTGATTACCCCTATTGCTGTTGTGGACAGATGATTTATAGCCCCATGGACCTGGGCAGTGACCGCAGCACAGGCTGTTGGCACTAAAATTTGGTGGTGGTGATGGTCAGCATTGGGGGATTTTGGAAAGTGCTACAGGAGCTGGCAGCAACTAATCTTTCATTAGAAGGGAAGCGTATTACTTGGACTGCAGTTCTTTCGTTTATGGTCAGTCTCCAAGACGAGCAGGTTCGGGCTTTCATATATAGTCTGTTATTAGTCCAACGCATCCCTCTATCGCCCGCAGGCTTACACGTGCGTGCAGGTGCACGCTGAAAGTTAGGAGTCAGAGGACCTGGATTGTGGCTCAGCCACCTGTTTGGTGCAGTCACAAAAGCGTAGCTTAGCTCACTTTCCTCTCTTCGCAAAGAGCTTTGAGATCCTCAGCTGAGTCCTTCAGCATTGTTGGTTCACAGACCGCTATGAGGGCTCGGAATAGCCTGATGCATGCAGATCGACGGATTTTGGCTGGAAAGGGTTTTTCAGTTAAATGCTGTTTTATCTGTGCATCCCCTTGTGCATATGCACCTCAGATCTGATCTGCTGTTTCTGAACCATGTCAGAAATTCATCTTCAATATACAACGTCACATTCTGACTTCTGGAGGGTGATGCTGGAGCTTGGCCATGGTTGTCAACACCTGCTGGACCATATTCATAAGCTTGACTGGAAAACGACATCTGCCATGAGTAGGTGTCACTCTTGTCAGGTAGCTGTGGGAACTATCCCTGCTTATTCCAGAGGTGGATTTGGTTTAATTCCAAATTTTACTCTTCCCTTTTTCCAGGGAGAGGTGAAGCTGAGAGAAGCAAAATTACTGCATTTTGAAGAAAGACAGAACCATTTCCAGTTGCTAGTTCTCTTTAGATGCACACCTCTGCTTTATGAATTAGAACCCCTTGTTCATATAAAAGTATTAGAAATGTTCATATAAAAGTATTTAAGCATGAATTAAACTACATGGAGCTAGCAGAAGCATGTATGGTTTCTTCTTTTCTCTCTGGGTCTGTGAGGATCTTGCACCTGCCTGCACACCATGTAATGGTGTTGAAGTGGAGATGCCTATCTCTCAGCCAGCAGTCAAGTTATAACTGCCAAAAACACTGCCTACGGAGGAAATGCAGTTTTGGGGCTGGACAGGATGCTGGAATTCTGAGGGCTTTGTTTCATATTTTTTGTTCTTCGCTATATAACCCCATTTGGATAATAATACCATAGGCCATATCACACTCTCATGTATCAAAACCAAAATCCTCAAAAAGCCTTGTTGGATTTTCTTCTTTAGGTGTTTCTCACTTTGCATACGGGTGTTTATTACTATTTTAACAGGGATCCCTGGGGGCATCATCCCATCACTTAGATACATCCCTGTTTGCTGCTGTGGCCGTAGATGGCTTGCCCTATACATGGAGAGAGAATGAGTGGTTATTCGTTGTTTTTCTTACTGGTAACAACGATTTTCTTCTAGCTTTTCTTTCCATAGGCATCTCACTCAGGCTTCCAATTCTATTGGAAAAGAACAAGCAGAGCCCTGTAATGTAGTGCTTAGATCAAGGGTAAATCTCTGCAGGCCAGTAATTATTCATTTTGTTGTTAGTGGGCAGAGCTGTGATTGGATTTGAAGAGGAGCAATGGGGAGAGCGGGGAAGAGGCTGGTTACTAGGGTGTGTTTGCCTAAAGCAGAAAAGGCCGAGCTGCTTTTAGGACATGCCCATGTTTATTTCATCGGATAATCATCTCTCTGCTTTTGCTCTGTTTCTTTTCCCAGGCTTTCCTGGGATCCCAGCCCAACCAAAACCATTTGCAGAGTGCAGGTAAGAACAAGAAGTTATTAATTCAGTCATCGGGCAGATTCTTTCCTGCAGTGGTGATCTGAGACCATAGGTACGACGAACCACTGCTACCTGGCATTCTGTCTTTCTTTCCATCACTTCTTCAGTCTTTTCTCCTGCCTCAATGCCTGTTCATCTCCTTCCCCAAAATGGCCAGACCGCTTTCTTTTCGTCATGTCTAAGACTCTTGCAGTTCCCTGTTCCTCCCACATGTTCTTTTCCTTTCATCTCTTTTTCTGACTGTCTTTTTTGCACGCTCACCTTTCCTCTGCTCTGATAACTACTGAATTCTCATACACCCCGCTCCGAGGGTCCCAGTTGCTGCAACGCGCACGGTGTGTTTTCCAGACACCTACCTCTAACTGCTTCTCATTTTTGTACCTTGCAGTTAACCTTCAGCTGTCACTTACCCCATCTGGGCTTGGCAGCGGCTACAAGGCCGTGCTGGTTTTGGCTGGGATGGAGTTAATTTTCTTCATAGTAGCTAGTATGGGGCTGTGTTTTGACATTGAAATACAATGTCATTTCCCACCTTCCTGCTTTATAGAATGAAATTATAGCTAATTTTAAACTCTTCTCAGTTTCAATCAATTTAGACAGGCAATTAATCTTCTAAAGAGCCTAGGATCAAATTTAAGAGTATCTTATTCAGGTGCCAAAGCAGGTGGGGAAGGAAGTGTGCCAGGCTCAAGTGCTGCTCCAGAGTAAGTGAGTACATCTATTGAAATAAACGGTAAAGGGAACCGGTTCAAATTGTCCATGTTTGGGCCCAGAGCAACACATTTCAAAGGTCCATCTGCGCAGTTCATGGCTTTCAGATCAATTTGTTTTTTAGATAGCGCATATTATAAACATTCTTTGAGCAGCTGCCTTGAAGAGTGATAGAATTAAAACCAAGCAAGTAGCAATCAAGACTGCAGACACAGGAGGTGTTTCAGGATATCCGCTGGTATCTCCCACATTGTCTGAGCCTCGGTGTGTGATGCCTTAAGTGATGCTAACAGCTCCCTTCCTGTGCCCAGCATCCAGCGTGTGTGGAGTCGGACCTCTTGGGTATTACAATGGCTCGCTGGCGGTCACTGAGGCCGGGGCAGAGTGCCTCAACTGGGCAGAGTTCCCCGATTACGTTCAGCAGTACCCAGACCGTGGCTTGGGGGACCACAACCACTGCAGGAACCCGGACGGGGGAACTACACCCTGGTGTTTCTACCGGCTTGCATCAGGGGCTATCGGCTGGGCTAACTGCGACTGTAACCAAGGTAAGGGCTGCTGCGCATCTCTGCCAGCGCCCAGGCTGCGCTGTCTCGGGGGGCTCAGGCCAGAAAGGTGTGCTGCACAGACTTGCAAGCAGCAGGTGGGACACCCTGTGAAAGAAGCACAGTACGGTAACTGTCCCGAATTGTTGAAATAGTTAGGACTAGAGGTTAGCCTGCGTGGGAGAAGAACGGCTGTATATAGTAGGGGGTGAACTTAAGTTGCTGTAGCCATAATGTCTTGTATAGATGTTTTTATTCTCATATAAGGAGACTTCTTTTTTTTTACTGTTAACTTATGCCACTTTGAAAACAGTTTAAGTTATGTGGAAAACAACCCACTCCTGCTCCTTAAGTGTCCATATCAGAGCTCTCCTCATGTAATCATATCAGTTCAAATATAACAAAGAAAAATCTTCTGTGGCTGGGTTTGTAAATCTTCTGTGGCAAGGTAGGTCATAGGCTTACTTTAAAATTCCTCGCAGTGCCGACACAAGGACTGCTGCTTCTTTTGAGGCATGCAAGGGAGCTGAGCTCTCTCAGTACGCTGACTCCAGTGCAGCGCTCTTGAAAAATGTCCTGTTTGTCCTCCTGTTTTCTGATTTTCCTCCCTTTTCCTGCATTTTGCAAAGCAGGTAAAGCACTAGTTTAATAAATGAAATTACAAAGTCTTTTCCCTTGTCAGTGGAAGTGCTTTCAAAGACGGCTTCATTAAAGGGAAGGGTACAACAAGCGTAGTTGTGCTGTGTGCCTACATTGAGGTACTACAGACAGAGGTGTACCCTTCTCTCAGTACGTAACTGAGTGAGGAGATGTGCTTTCTAAACAGTGGTAAATATTTGTAGTGCAGTGGGAATTGAAAGGGCATTTACATTGGCACTTCCTTTTCTTAGAGAAATTAAAGAGGATTACATCTAGCTGTAGCAACAGTGACTCTCATGGGTGAGGTGATCGATGGAAAATAAATCAGTGGAGTGTCATAGGAATTAGAGAGCCTGCCATTTCCATACACCTTTTCAAGGTGGCATGTAAAATCACCCCCACTTCACAAAAGGAAAATCCTGGAGCCGTGGCAGAACCCAAGTTTCCTGCTGGTATTACCATGGCTTTGAAATGCATGTAGCACCAGCCATCCTCCCGAGCAGCCATTGCTGGAACTGGGGAGGTGCCACGTCCCGCACTCCTTCATACAAGTCACTTCAGTGACAGCACCAGCAAAACAGGGATGAGAAAAGCCAGGTGCAGTTCAAGTCCAAGACTGGCTGATCTGAAACCTCCATCAGAAGATAGCAGGGTTTTTTTTTCCCTTCTCTTTTGGAAGGTGCTGTGCGGTTGGCTGAAGATAGTAGTGTGGAGCTGTACTTCAGTGGACTCTGGGGCACCATCTGTGCTGACCACTGGACTGACTGGGATGCCAGTGTTGTCTGCAGGCAACTAGGTCTCAGGTGGGAACCTCAGTCTGGTTGCGAGAGTTACGTGCTCGTGTGGCCTTGGAAAGAACAGCCTCTCTGGTTACGGTCCCTCTGGCATAATGTGTTGGCTGGGGGAAAGGAGGTTGTTTTGTGGGCTCATTTCTCACTTACCAGGGTCCTTTCCTACTGTTTTCTTTCCATGGCTACGTCAAACCCCAACCAGCATTTGCAAGAACTTTTTAAAGCAGTAGTTTCTGCTTGGTGCTCCAGGCTGTGATGAGTAAGCTGTGAGATTGTGTCCCCCTTTTTAGTATTACCAGCTGGAGTTAGAGATTAGAAAATTTGAGAGTGTGAACCCTCTTTGGGAATCTGGGAATTGGACATTCAAACTTCCAAATAGCAAGGAGAGAAGGTCCACAGAGAAGGAAGAAGGTGATTCAAATATTTGGATGTTCGAATCTGTTGGTGGGTTTGTTTATCACTCTCAAACGAGGGTGCCAGTTCTGACCAGACCAACTCCTCTGTGGTAAGCAGGAAGACAAAATGGATTAGATGGTGGGAAGTGCTTTGTGCTTGCTTGTACTTTCCCATTAGACTGTACGTGGCCACCCCTTTATGCACTCCCAATCAACTGGGCTCACTGGGATGTGAAATGCCACAACTGGGCAGGAGAGTCACAAGAACTGAGGGAAAACAAGTGTGAGTCAAGCAGTGCTACGGCCTTTCATTGCTCTGTTGCTTTCTCTGTACCAGTGAGATCGGCACAGCTGGGAAGAAGAGTCATCCCGGATTGTGGCCTGTTCCCCTGCACCTGCAGTCAGCAAACTGCCATGGGGATGAGAAAGCCCTGCTGCAGTGTGGCTATCGGGAAGCAGTGTCAGGAGCTTGTAGCCAGGGGAGTGCCGTGGTAACGTGTGTCCCTCCAGAAGGTAAATCTCCAGGGGACGTTCACTCCCTGTTTCTTGCGTCAGTGTTGCTGATGAGATGTAAAATCTAAGGTCATGAAGCTGTGGAGAGCAAATCATTGGAGCATGTTCTTCTTTCACCTGCTATACAGGTGCTTATCTTCCTTCCAGTGGAAAATTATCCATTCTTTCCCAATCCCAAATACTCAGAGCGGGAATACTTCTACAATCACTGAAAGATGGCTGTTGCTTACAACCACATCCCCTTTTTATCAAACCAGGTTTTCGTCTGGTCTTAGCAAAGTCTTAGTCACTGTAGCAGCCAGGTAAAGAGCCAGCCCTGGACCAACAGCACCCGTACTGTGGGCTGCAATCACACATGCTCTTGGGGGGCGGTTAGAGGGGAGGATGTGGTAGGGTGGGACGAGCATGCCAAGACCTCCTCTAGCTGGTGAATGGCTCTACACCTTGAACGGCTGGATGTGCTTTGTCTCTGTCTTGCTCT